AAAGATTGCAAATAACCTGTCCTTGAAAACCGGCAGTGACATGCAAAATAACTACACCCGGTTGTGTCTTTACCGTGATCCTAAACCCCCAACATGAGGGCTTATTAAGATCACTTTTGTTTACCTTTAAATAATGAATAAAAATCAAGAAAATACACAGATCTTTGGCTCACTTAAATAATTTAATGACAATGGAAGACAAAAATAAAGACAAATAGAAAAAAAAAGCACATCTCCAGCTCATTGAACACTGCAAGAGATGGACAACTGCTTATCACCTGTTTGCAGCTACTTTTTTGTTCTTGGTTACTTGGCATTAGACCTTGCCTTCTGGCCAACATGGAACTTGGAGTATGATTGAATGAATGTTGCAAATTTTGCATTTAATTAGGACACAAACACTTTAAAATAAAATAAATGATATACGGGTAATCTAATATCCTATCATATTTTCCAATAAAAAAAATCAGATGACAACTATGCTGGTTACCTATTTATATAGATATACAAGAAGGAGAAATAAAATAAAATAAATAAAAAATAGATTCAAAATCTGCACCTCACAAACGTAGAACTACAAGCCAATGGCGACACATCTCACCATGATCAGTGGGTAATCTTTCTTGCTTAACATGATCATTTTTGTCACATTAATCCTAAAGCTACCCTTCATTTGAGCAATACTGCTTGGTCTTTTATCGCCATGCCTTCAAGTTCCATTAACATGATAATAACACAAGGCAAAGTATGGACAGTAGAGCAACAGCACTGAAGTGTAAATAATAATAGTGGCCTTGTCACATGAGCTATGATCATTAATGACACTACAGGTGCTGTCACTAATGACCTTTTCAATAGTCTTGGTCATTATTAAGTATTCTAAAAAATAAGAGAATCTGAGGGCTGAGTTGTTACTCTAATCACAGGGCTGGTTATGGTTTATAAATATTGAAAGCTTTAAGGCAGTGTATATCTGGTCATTAAGTCTGTACTTCTGTTGACTTTCAACTTCACAACAGAGTTTTTTATTTATAAATTAAAAAATGAGGTATGAATGATAAGAAAATGGGTAGAGTAAGAAAATAAATTGGTTGCAGGCACCCCTGAGAGATTGTATCTAATAATATCACACAATACATACTGTTTGAAGCTTTAATGACCCTTTTATATGACATTACATTAAGCTTAAAAAACTTGTCTACATTTTGTTTTTACAGGAAACTCTAAATATCACAGTTTACAACCTGAATAACCAACACCTCAATAACCTTTAGCAAAATGTCCACCATCTGATTTTGGCCTTCCTCTGGTGAAATGTTTCTTTTTGGATGTCTAAAATCTTTGCTAAAATATATAGTGTGTTAGTAAATATTCAGTATAAAAAATGTTCTCAAATGATTCTTCATTTTAAAACCATCTACAGCAAACCTAATACTATATGAAGTCTCTCATGAGGGTATTTGCCTTTCTAACTCTACCACGGCTACTGACGTCAACCTCTTCATTTTCCTCTTCTTCACTGTACCTCGGTCTTTTTTTGGACTTTTTGCTCTTAGCACACTCATAGTCAGAGTCACTTTCATACGAGCGTTTTGCATTTGTTGGATTTGTCAATGGTTTCCCTTTGCCTTTTGTATACGTAGGTGCTGGGTAACCTTCACTACTTTCTTCTGAGTCAGAATCTTCACTCTCACTTTCCTCCTCCTCCTCTTCCTCTTCCTCCTCATCATCACCATGATCATTTTCACCACACGTAGATGTTATGACCCTCCCAAAAACACGTCCTCTATGTTCAATCTGATCAACTACGGTAACAATCTGACTTCCATAGCTGAGGGGTTGATAAGGAATGGGTGACTGGCCAGGTCTATTGACTGTGATGAGCTCTTGCACATTCTTGGGTTGTGGCCGCTTGCTGGGTGGCTGAGCCTTCTTGGTCTTGGCGTTCGTATTGTTCTTTTTCTTTGAATTACTTTTCTTTGGTTGGGTCTTCTTTGTGTTCTTTTTGGCAGGCACTTTCTTCTTAGAAGATTTGGCCTTCTTTTTCTCCTTTTTCTTCTTCTTTACGTGCTTGACATGATCTTCACTGCCTTCATCACTTTCCGACTGAGAACTTGACTCTTCTTCCGTCATGTCTGCATCATCAATAAAATCTTTATCAACAATGAAATCTCTGTCATCTTCATCATCACCATCAAGGATGATCTTTCTTGCCCTTCTTACACTGGATGCTACACCCCTCTTCCTGCCTCGACGACTGTTCAGGTCATCATCTGCACTCTCCTCTGTACTTGATTCTAGGTCTTCATCATCAAATTCTACCTCACTCTCCTCTTTATTATAGCGTTTGATGTTCACTGGTTTTCCTTTTGAAGTGGGTGGTATCTGGGCTTTACTCTTACCTTTGGGATGGGCCTTACCTACACTACTAGAACTACTATCACTTGTAGATTGTCTTCTCTTAACATACCCAAGCTTTCCTTTGGACTGATCTTTACTG